TATGGATGTAAGGAGAAGCTAATTGATTGAGAGAAGCAAGGTATATGCAACACAATAAGTATGGTCCAGCTCTTATTTTTTCAATTAAATTCATTAAATTTTATTTTTTGTGCATTTCCTATGCATTGCAGACAAGTCTTGCTTTAACAGTTTGACGTTCATGGCTGACATACCTTCTGGATGCATCATCCCTTAGTACGTCGGTGAACTGCCAAGTCATGTTTTTTCAGTTTTCATTTATTTTGTTTAGATACGTGCCAAAGAATGGAGAAATGAAGATTACATGAAAACAAGTCAGTCATTGAGAGAAGGGGGAAGGTTTGAACCTAGTTTCAGAATGAGTTTCATTTCTGTTATTTTTCTGCTGAGAAACCCTTTTTTTGAGAACAGAGACAGAGAGATCAGTGTGATCATGGCCGTCTGAGGTGAAATGAGAAACTATGGGCTTGGAGAAATCTTTAATCTTCACAGCCCCTAACATGTTCTCTGAAGCGGTCTCCTAGTCTCCTTCCTGTTTCCCCAGCGTAGATAGCTGGTCATTTTTTGCAGGAGATACAGTAAATGAGGTTGATGGAGGTACAGGATGTTGTCTGGGTGATCTGGAATTGACCTGAGGGGCCCTGAATGAGCGTGTTGCTAGATATGTATTTGCAGAGTTCTGTTGCAGGTGAACGGGCCTGCTGGGGATGATTTATGAGTGCGGTCAAGGCAGCTGTGAACCAGAAGTTTACATAGATTGGGTGGTCAGCGGTATGAGATGATTGGGCAGTTTGAAAAAAGGGTACCGATGGAGGGATCGCCCTGTAAAATGGAGTAGTTGTTAATAAAGGTTCTGGGGATAGAAAGTGTGTTAGAGTGGTAGGGAAGCACCAAAGGAATGCGGTTGTGAGACCGGGAGTTCCTGGTCAAGGTGATGATCCAAGGGCTGTTTTTGGCCCAGGTGAGGGCCCTATCAATAACCTGGGTGGGGTATCCTCTGTTGATTAAAAAAGAATACAGTTTGAGTTCTTGGTTCTGGAATCCCATGTAGTCTCTGCAGAGTCGACGTAGCCTGAGGAACTGTGAAAAAGGGAGAGTTTTTGATGTGAGTGGAATGAAAAGAGCTGTACAGGAGATAGCTGTGTGAATCTGTGGGTTTGTAATAGACTGAGGATGAGAGTCGTGGATGGTTAACAGATACATTTATTTCTAGAAACAGAAGAGTGGTGAAAGATATGTTAACTGTATATTTGAGGGACTGTATTGCTTTTATACAGTGCTGTCCATAAGTATTTGGACAGTGAAAGATATTTTGTTGTTTTGGCTCTGTACTCCAGCACATTGGATTTGAAATGAAACAATGACTATGAGGTTCAAGTGCAGAATGTCAGCTTTAATTCAAGGATATTTAGGTCTGTATTGAGTGTCACTGTCCAAATACTTATCTATGTGCGTTTACTGTATACTATATATTTTTTTTATTTTCAGCAGTATCATTCACCAGGATCTAGTATCATTTACAGTTTGTTTCCATTAGCACTTGGTATTGTAAAGAATTGCAAGATTGTCAATGGGTTTAAGATTGAATATTCCACTTTGCTGATTTTTTTACTGCAGAAGATATTTGTGAATTAGGCTCTAATAAAAAAGAGCTTCATGCTTTTAAGACTTTTGAATGTACAAGCTTAATAGTTGCGTGTTTCCATTAATGTCTAGAAATCTTGTCACAAGTAGAGCTACAGCCTGCCGTGTTCACACAGCTCTTTAAATGCATTTTTACAATATGGTGGATTAGCGGTGTCATTTTCAGCTGAACAAAAAGGGACTTGAAATGAAGAAGTCTTGTATTACTTTGTCATTTCATGTAAAGATCAATAAAAAAGCAGTATTAAACATTTGTGTTAAGACTCAGTTTGAGGCACTAGATTGTCGATGGCATTTCTCTTTTTATCTTTTGGGTAAAAAAGGCCTGTCTTCAGCATATTACTTCTCTGCTTTAAAAGCGGAAGTACTTGAGACATGGCCTGAAATAGCTTCTTTATCTGATAAACCCTGATACCTATTTCTTTCTAATAAAACTCTTTCAGATAATAAGATTGCCTCTCTTGGGTTCCTTTTTGTACTCTGCTGAGCTGTCATATGTGTTTAAGAAGCAAAAACTGAATGTGAAGATACTTCTTCTGCTTTTTGGGATTTATTTTAAACTGTTTTAATAAACCTGAAAAGGAAAACCTGTCAGAAATATATTTTCTTCTGCACGATTACAAATTTGTATTTTTATATTGCCTTTTTTGAAATGATAAATTAATGTAAAGTACAACTTTAATTATCTCAGCTATAATACTTCTTAACCCCCATTACTGGCATCTAAATAATTTACATACAGTATATACACTAGTTCAAATCTCATACTGTATGTTACATTTTAATGCCTGTTTATATGCAATGTCTTTCCCATCACGTATCTTTTCATGAAATACATTTTCACTCTGCTGCACATCTCTGTTATTATAGTTTAGTTGGTTGGAAGTGGAGGGGTGTTTAAATTGCTTCAAATTTCTCCTGGTGGGCATACCTTGATTCTAAAATGGTTATTTCAAAATTCTGAAATGTATAGCATTCTCTACTAGCAAACTAAGCAAAAGTATGATCCCTTACTTGTGTACCATTTCAATTTGAAGAATTTTACCATGTCCACCATGTTTACCATGAATGAATGATATATCTATTACATTGCTAGGAATGGGGTTCATATTCAGTATTTATTCTGTATTTACGAGGAATAGAATAACAGGAATAGAGGAGGAATAACATTGATATGTTCTCTGTCACATAATCAGACCTAAAATACTAGATAGGAAATCGTCAATAAAAACATTTAATTTAATTTGGCTTATCTGGAAGCTGTGTATAATGTAGTATATTGGCTTCAACAACATTCCTGGGTAGCTTGTTCCATTTTCCCAGTAAAGAAGTGTCTCCTGTTCTGCTGAATCTCCATGATAACCTTTCATGTCAAAAATTTTAAAGCACTGTACTACATACTGTACAAAAAAATAAATTTCCTGGAAAAATATCTGCTACAGATTTGTTGCAAAACTGTTTTTTTAACATGAGTTTTAAAATCAAACAGTAGAGGACCATTGCATTTTGTTTCTGCACATGTAAAGCTGAATATGTTCAAGTGGTAGAAAGTTCGATCAAATTTCAGAATGTTCTGTCGACTTCGATCAATTTACAAGAGAAAATCAAGCCTCAAAGCCCAGAGGGTCTTCTCATTCAAGTCACTTTTGTTTGTATAATGTGCGCATGTGGTCTAAGACAGAAAATAAAATTGAATTTCAAGGCCTGCCCAAAAGAGTCCCTTAAACGTAACATTTCCATGTCTTTTGTTGTTGCAGATTGGCAAATATTACTTGAAGTTAGCAGAGGAGAAGGATGAAGAGCTCAACAATTGCAATGCCGTAAGCTGGCTTCTTCAGGCTGCAAAAAACGGCAGGAGAGAGGCCGTTAAGTTGTTGCGACGCTGTTTAGTAGAAAGAAGAGGTGTGTAAATTAGCCGAGTTTATGTTTGCCTTATACCATTGTTTGTGCATCACATCTTGGGATGGATGTGTTTCGTGGAATTATGTCATCCTGCTGCTTTGTGGCTCCAGATGTTATCTAGCGGGGTCATTTTGAACATTTTCCACTTTAACTGGAATGATTCATGCTCCGGCCATTTTCTGTAATGGTAGCACTTATTTCTGACATGTTGGTATTGAAACGGCAACAAACCCTTTAGCCAGCATCATTAAGAAACATTGCGTGACCTACGTTTATTTTTTCCCACGTATTTCATATATCCGTTTGTGTTCTAGCTTTTATGGCTGACTTTTTATTGTAATTTAAAAAGAGGGTTTTAGAAACGTTTATTGGTCAGGTACAGAGAGAGAGCCCTGTAAAGTGGAAGTGAGCACCCCTGATGGAGAAATTTGAAGAAACACAAATAGTCTTTTAATAAGGGTTCATCATACAGACATATAGACATCATGCAGATATTTGAACTGTGGATGTTGAAGTACAGTATGGAGTGAAAATGTGACAGTTCATCTATAGTGCTATAGTTTTTTAAAGTGCTGTAAGACATGTGATGGGCACTCCCCCTTATCACTGCATAACAAAATGAAGAGGAAGCTAAAACCTTACTTGTGGTCTTGACAGCATGTTGGTGTCTCTTTCGACAGGAAGGCAAACGTATACAAACAATATATTTTTGAGCTGTGGTGTCATTAGTGACTTTACTCTGTGCTGTTTGTAAGGAATCACAACAGAAAACGAGGAAGAAGTGAAGAAACTGTCTTCAGAAACTGATTTTGAACGGGCCGTGAGGAAAGCTGCACTAGTGATGTATTGGAGATTAAACCCAGAGCGGAAAAAAAAGGTTGCAGTGACTGAGCTTCTGGAAAATGTTGGACAAGTTAATGATGACAAAGGTTTGCAGATACTGTTTCATCTTCTATAAGACTGCCTAGTCTATTTACAGTTTGAAGTAACTTTAATGCCTTAGTACATAAAAGGCTGTACATAATTACTGAAAAGGGCAACTCCATGGGCTCGTAAATGATTCATCTAGTAAAGTACGTCATGACTGGTTTTCAACAGGTTTATTTCAGTAAAATAAAGATACCTATCTTCAGTACACTGATTGTACATACAAAGTACAATAAAAATATAATTTAAGATAAGATAAAGTTATCTTTATCTCATGAGTTCACTGCCGTTTGTTTGTGAATTTATGATTGCTTTTTGTGCATCTTGCATCAAATAATATAAATGCCATATCAAAATTAATGGTTTGTTAAAATAGTGTGTGGGGCAGCATGCTAGCACAGTGGTTAGCATTGCTCCACTTTTTGGGGTGCTATCTGTGGGGATTTTTTAATGTTCTCCCTGTGTTCACATGAGTTTTCTCTGGGTGCTCCGGTTTCCTCCACAGTCCACAGACATACTGGTAGGTCAATTGGCTTCTGGTAAAATTGGCCCTGGTGTGAGCGTGTCTGTATTTTGTGTCTGTGTGTGCCCTATAATAGACTGGTGTCCTGTCCAAGATATATTCTGCCTTGCTGCTGTTCTGCCGGGATAGGCTGTGGCTCCCCCTGATATAGTGGCTAGAAAATGAATGAATGAATGGATGGATGATTGGTAGTATTATTTATGGTAGTATTTTTTCCACCTGAATTCCTAGTACGGTGGAACGAAGTCTTGGTGGGGCATACTGTTAACTTAGTTCAGGTGGGTAGCTGCGTCAGCAAACGTAGGCCGCAAAGGAACAAGTAATACGTTTATTCCATGCTGAAAGAGAAGAAAGAAAACAACGTTTCAGTTGTGGAGGGGTGTTGCTTAAAACTATTGTGTTTCCATTCTTCTCTTTTCAGCATGGAATAATGCTTACCACTGCAATACTATGCCACCCTAATTTAGTTGCCCCCTTTATTAGATTAACCAAAAAAAGAAAAGAACCTACCTAATATCAGCAACTAGAAAAAAAAATCACAAATTAAAGTAAAAAACACAATAAGCTATCCTTAATGATCTAAATCTGCTTTTATTCTGAATCTCCTTCTACCCCTCAATCACGACCGAAACACTGTGTTTTCTTTATTCTCTTTTCAGCATGGAATAAACCTATTACTTGTTCCTTTACTTTTAACTTAGTTCATTCACATGTCTTGCATGCTTGTGTGTGGCTTGTAATCCCCGGATTGGTTTTAATGGACTTTACAGGGCAAATATAATTACCTTTAGGTAGCAGGATTTTATCCACTATGTGCAGTGTTCTCCTAAAAACAAACGCTAACTCTTTTTTGTCTTTTTTTTGTTGGGTTACGATTGTTCCTGTGCCCAGATGGAGCTGCCAAACCGGGTCCTGTTCCAAAATCTGTACAGAAACAGAGAAGGGTGCTGGAACGCCTTGTCAGCAGCGAACGTAAGGCTAAGAGTGATTTCTGTAATACGCTTTCACCAAGTCTCTGGCGGAAACATTTGAAAAGAAAACGAGTCCCTCCTGTTGCAAAATCTCAAGCACTTAAAATTCAGTTACTGACTTAAGTTGGAAACGAGAGTCAGCCATTTGGCCCGTGTAGCCCGTTGGATAGTAACGGTGAGACAGGACGCTGTTCTCCAGCTCGGGGTAAAAAGGTGTAAAAAGCAGAAGACCTGGTAGCTCTACAGCAGTGGTTCTCAAACTTTTTGGACCAAGTACCACCCCTGATCAAACCGAAGCATCCAAGTACCACCTACAAGTCATCTTCTCATAGGAACCCCAGAAATTCTCAATGACCAACATGAGCGGGCGTGTGCACACACACTCACATACACATATAATAAATATTATAGTAATAAACTATTATAGTAAAAAACACCTTTAAAGGTGGCTTCTCAAAGCGCTTTACAGAAAAAAAAACAGGAACAACAACAATTAAAAATAAACAATAAAAAAGCACCATTTCAGTGAGTGGGGTGAGCCTGTTTAGTCGAGCAAAGAGAGAGTCTAACAGATTTTAAATCGTCAGGCATTTTCTTGACGGCAAAGGTCTCGTGGTGAATGTTGCAATGTGTCCATTAATTTCTGGAGCAACCTCTCTAATTTGTGCAACTACACCACTGTGTTGGCTTGTCATTGCTCTAGCACCGTCTGAACAAACTTTGACACATTTTATCCAGTCGATGCCATTCTCTTCGATAAATTAATTCAGAAGCTGAAATATGTGCTCTCCTGTAGTTCCTGTTGGTAGTGGCTTACATAACAGAAAGTCCTCATGGGATGTACCCTCAAACTCATATCTAACGTAAACGAGGAAATTGGCCAAATCGACTACAGACTCATCTAATTGCAGTGAAAAGCATGTGCTCATCTTAACGCGCAATATCAGCGTACTTTTGATATAATCTGCCATATCAATAATTCTATGAGTGACTGTGTCTTTCAGAGGGGGCAGCAG